CGAACGTACAAGTTTGATAGTTGTTACAAATGTGCTGGTTCATGTCTACCATGTGAGGATTAATGCTTGTCAAGGTAACCCAATTTGTACATTATAGTGTACATAACTGGTTGGCTATATAATGACCGCTAGGTGGTCGAGGTGGTTTAGTTTTCTGTCAAATTATAACTTTCCAATTTACCCATTAATTGAAAAGAAATGCGGCATTCCCATTGTGTATGGAAAATGCTTGCAATCTTCATTTCGTATAAGGTTAGGATCACATGCAATTCGAATATATAATTCTTCCTATTTGTAATGCATTTAGATTTTTGCAATGTAAATGTACCAGACGCTTATGATCACATGCAACTGCAGGATATGATTGTTCGTTTTCATAATATATGGCTCATTTAGGCAATCGAACATTCGTATATGCTTAGGATCACATGCGGTTCAAAGATATGATTCGTCCCATTTGTAATGTGTTTTGATTTGTGCAATCTAAAGTTACCGTATGCTTGGGATCACCTGCAATACCAAGAAATGATTGTCATGTTCATAATTTATTGCACATTTAGGCAATCGAACTTTCGTATAAGCTTAGGATGATGTGCAATTCAAAGATATGATTCTTCGTATTTGTAATGCATGAAGATGTTTGCAATCTAAATTTACCAAACGCTTGGGATCGCATGCAATACAAAGAAATGATTGTTCGTGTTCATAATTTATTGCAAATTTAGGCAATCGAACTTTCGTATAAGCTTGGGATGACATGCAATTCAAAGATATGATTCTTCATATTTGTAATGCATGAAGATGTTTGCAATCTAAATTTACCAAACGCTTGGGATCACATGCAATACCAAGAAATGATTGTTTGTGTTCGTAATTTATTGCACATTTAGGCAATCGAACTTTCGTATAAGCTTAGGATCACATGCAATTCGAATATATGATTCTTCGTATTTGTAATGCATGAAGATATTTGCAATCTAAATTTACCAAATGCTTGGGATCACATGCAATTGAAATATATGATTCTTTGTGTTCCTAATTTATGGCACATTATTGTAATTAAACTTTCGTATAAGCTTAGGATCACATGCCATTCACATATATGATTTACGAGTCAGCTACAATGATGGTGGGTATATTCGGGCCCAAGTGTATCACATGAGGCACTTGAAAATGATAACATGTCATTTTCCATAACCTTTGGCATATTTGTAATTGAAGGCATTTATTTGAACGTAGGTTGCAAAAGTTGGGAGCTCGTTCAGATGAAGGTCAGTAAGTCGAACGTCATATTTGGTGCACGTACATGAGATGCAGTGCACGGTGACAAAGTATGGAATTTTATCTTTTTCTTTGCGGTGTAAAATTTTCACCCAGTTCAAACATTTGATGCGATATTTATTCAAATTGAACGTGTAGTTACCTATATTCGAAATGTTTAAATTGGGAAGTATTTGTGTTACAATGAAGACCCTTGCCTCGCACTAGGATGGCATATATCTGCAGTGGCCGTAATTTATTGTATCAATTATCACATGCAAGTGCATTCATAATATTAGTTAAAATTAAGACGATGAGCTATTAAAACTGTCAAAGCCATGACAACCACAAGCTTCGAGTTAAAAAATGAGTTCATGTCTATGTCATTATTTTTCATATGTCGTTGAACATGTACGTTAAGATCATGAGCCATATGGGTGAGGCCCTGTAGCCTTTTGACCATGGTACAAGTAACTAGAAATTAGTTTAACAATATTTTAGTTGCGGGACATCCCCATTGCTTAATAGTACACATGATTTATGAGCCTTTAAGGTCCTGGTAATTATGGGAAAATGGGGATAAAGATACACTTAATTTATTGAACAATCACACCAATTGCTTTTCACATTGACAATGAGATTGGACATGGTGGTTAGGTAGATGATGAACATAATTGCTTCTCCTCTTCTTCTTACTTATAAATACAGGATATGAGTTCATTGTCCCTTAAAAACAACTTAGTTGAATACCATTCTGAGAATTAGAAGTCTTCACACACTATTCGTTTCATCAATACTTTACTACATCGACATAATGAGTTCATCCACAGGAAGCACCTAATCGTCCAATGTCAACGAGCCATTGCTAGTTCCCGATTCATCTCCGTTATGTCCAATCTACATTTTGTCAGACGATAAGGAAGCTAACCCTCGTATTGGTAGAAGAGCCATTTTCCATGTTCTGTTTCCCAACTTGGAAGATATTGTGACGGAAGGTGCACAATCATCCAACGCTGTGCTCGATCGGGGTTTCAAGGTCGACGCTGGATATGGAAAGAGCGATGACAATGACGACTGGCTGGTGTATATCCACATAATGAGGTAATTATCATCTCATCGGATGAGTCGAGTGAAGACAGTGGAGGACAAGGTTCAGTTGTGGAGGACGAATGAAGAAAGACCCATCTTTCGTAGTGAATAAGTGATGTATAGTCTAGTCTTTTACACTTCTTGTGTTCGGTTAACACAAATTGTAAATTTTTGTATGACCATGCCCATAGGATGCCATGGATGGTGTATTTTGGGGTCCAACTATCGAGAATGATAGACACAATCTGTTAGTAATGACAAATGAAGTGTCGAGCTTTAATGCAATATTTTGTAAATGGACCCGTATTTTGAAGTACATGGAGCCGATGTTGTGAAATTGTGTTTATTGTGCGCTCAATTGTTTCAAATATTAATGATGTTGCGAATTATAATCTGTTTCGTAGGGGATTGAAAAAAGCGTTTTTGAGTGGACCAAAAATCGAAAGGTTTTGGATTGTCCCTTCGAGTATATATAGCAACCATAGAGTGGGAGGGCAAATTGTATGGTTTCAAAGATATATTATGTCATACTTTTTGCGTATGCTTATTCGAAATAATGTAAGGTGATAATGAGTATGCACACACCATACGTTGAACGGATATTAAAAAATGGGGTGCATCATGCCCTCAATTCAGTCAACTATTTAAAATGTTTCAATTTATAATTTATTTGACTGAGACTAAAAAAATCGTTCTTACTTGGACAGTTGATGGATCTTAGATGTTGCTTACTACCGTCAGGTATTTACACGACCGTGGAGCTGGAGGGTGAGTTGTACGCTTTTAAAGATGTTGGGTCCTGTAAGATTTGTGATTTTATTTGATCATATGAATGAAATGTACAGTCCACCATGTACATGAAGCTGATATTGAATGCGGTGCACATTTTTTTCAACTGTCGAGAAAGAATGAAACATCTATCCAGACCGACAGTTTAACAGTAACTATGAAAAACGCTTCAATTATCAGAACTTGGCCCATATAAGTTCATTTTTATGCAAAGAATGGTAGATACATGCAGAAACTAGAATTATGATGTGATACATGGGTACAATTGATAACAAAATTATAATAAATGCATTGGTTTAGTACAAACGACATCGGTAAAAAGTAAACATACAACTTCGACTAGTCACGGAGAAGGGCCTATTTGAATGGGCCGTGTTATAAAGGAGTTCGAATATGTACATTGATTATGACCAACTCTACCACAGCGGGTGCATTTCCCCAGTTGTGTGGTGGACTCATATCTAGATCGATGACGTCGTGTGGGTGGTCTACCTGGAGGACGACGTACACTCGGTGGCAGAGTAGGAGTACCTGTAATTTCGTTCAAAAGCTTCGCTGTTGGCACCCCTCCAATATTTCGATATGTAATACGGTGAGCATAAATCGTACAATGACTTACCTCACAAGCAGGCAGCACGAGTTGTATGAATGCATGGCATACTATTAAGCTGAAACTCATGACAAGTGCACGTGTTATCGAAAAAGTCCACGATTTCAGTGTCATTGGATAGTCCAACTTGTGTTAAGTTGCCTGTCAGGCCTTGAACTCGAAGCTTTGTACCTGCTTCGAACATTGTCCGTAACTCTCTTTCTATCTTCGATAACAACACGACACTACATGTGGTTAGATAGGTTCGACGTTTATAGTACCACTTCTGCATAGTTTACTAAATCTGTTCGACCAAGCATGTGATTGGCAATGAATGTGCATGTCTCAATATTGAGTTCAAAGATTTTGCATTGTTGTTTGTCAAAATGTTGGAACGTTGCCCAAAGAATAGTGCTCATGACCAAAATGAAAAACCAGCTCGTTCCAAGTACTCATACGCTCTTTCACTGACCTTACAGATCTGTCCCATAAGTTTTTGCAGCTTGTTTGAATAGAAATATTGCACTTGCGTTGTTGTACTGCTGGATTAAGTTCTTCTCCAGATGCCAAATATAGTACCCATGGTAAGACAAAGGAAATGCATGAGCAATGGCATTAGAAATACTATTTTTCCTATCGAAAACAAAAATCAATTCATCCGAGTCGTATATAAGCTCTTTCAAGTTTGACAGACACCACATCCACGATCCATTTGTTTTGCCATCAACGGTCTCCCATGCTAGGGGATAAATCTGTTTGTCGGCATCTTGGCCAGTTTCCAGCAGAAGTGTACCTTTGTATAGACCTTTCAAGTAACTATCGTCAACACAAATAACAGGCCTCGAGTAATGCATGTAACTATGAATGTTTGCATCGAAAGCCAGGAAAAAGTAGTGAAACCTATTACGGGAATCAACTTCAATGTGGGTTACTGTCCCTCGGTTACTCTCTCCTAGGACGTGAGAATATGACGATAGTTTTTGGAAACTATCCCCAAGTGTATCATGTAGCATATGTAAAGCAGCCACCTTACCCCTATGTGCCTTTTGGTAACTTATTTTCACACCAAACTCGCGTTCCATGTCACGTGCAATAGAGGTAGGATCGTACGATCGCTATGGATTTTCACTTTTCCCAAAATATGCACGGCAATTACAGAAGTAGTGGCATGTCGACGTGTGTTACGATGAAAATCTACTAAACATGTGTGCACATTGTTGAATTTACGGATCATGAATATTGCAGACTGCTTCATGCTCGAAGCACGTAACTTTCACTTGCAATTATTGTCTGCGTATACGATAGTTAACAGTTTGAGACTTGGCCTGCTGACCTTAAAAAGGAACTTGTCCTGCAAAGCAAGCACACGAATTTTCGAGTATTGCTTTTTCTTGCTGAAGAATATTTGCTGTTCAACAAGATCGGACGTATTTACACTTGTAATCCATTGGTATGTATCCGAACTCTGGGAATGTGATGACATTCTCTCGTTAATGTCTACAATATTAGCGCCATTTGTACCATGTAACGGGTCTTCCAACATCTCATCTAATGGTACAGCCCCAACGTATTCAATTAGACTATCGACTATATTATTATTTAGGGCACTAGGTTCATGATGTATGTCATCGTGTTGTATGTTATGGGGAACATCCGCTGTTCCAAACGAAGGGTCATGCAAATTTTTATCCCTCTCCATGTCAACACTGGGCAGATCAGTTTCCAAAATAGTAATGTAGAGGGTGGTCTACCTGGAGGACGACGTACACTCGGTGGCAAAATAGGAATACCTGTAATTTTGTTTGGATGCTTCGCTGTTGGTACCCCACCAGTATTTCGATGTGTAATACGGTGAGCATAAATCATACAATGACTTATCTCGCAAGCAGACAGCATGATTTACATGAATGCATGGCATACGATTAAGCTGAAACTCACGACAAGTGCACGTATTATGAAAAAGTCCACGATGTCAGTGCCATTGGATAGTCCAACTTATGTTAAGTTGCCTGTCAGGCCTTGAACTCGAAGCTTTGCACCTGCTTCGAATATTGTCCGTAACTCGCTTTCCATCTTCGATGACAACACGACACTACATGTGGTTGCAGTGGTTCAACGTTTATAGTACAACTTCTGCATAGTTTGCCGAATCTGTTCGACCAAGCATGTGATTGGGAATGAAGGTGTATGTCTCAACATTGAGGTCAAAGATTCTGTGTTGTTGTTTGTCAAAATGTTGTAACATTGCCCAAAGAATAGTGTTCATGACCAAAATGAAAAATCAGCTCGTTTCAAGTACCCATACGCTCTTTCACTGACCCTTCGGATCTGTCCCATAAATATTGCACTTGCGTTGTGTACCACTGAATTAAGTTCTTCTCCAGATGCCAAAAACAGTACCCATGGTGAGACAAAGGAATACATGAGCAATGGCATTAGAAATACTATTTTTCCTATCGAAAACAAAAATCAATACATCCGAGTCGCCTATAAGCTCTTTCAAGTTCGACAGAAACCACATCCACGATCCATTTGTTTCGCCATCGACGATCTCCCATGCTAGAGGATAAATCTGTTTGTTGACATCTTTACCGGTTGCCAGCAGAAGTGTACCTTTGTATGGACCTTTCAAGTAACTACCGTCAACACAAATAACGGGCCTCAAGTAGTGCATGTAACTATGAATGCTTGCATCGAAAGCCAGGAAGAAGTAATGAAACCTATTACGGGAATCAACTTCAATGTGGGTTACTGTCCCTGGGTTACTCTCTTCTAGGACGTGAGAATATGATGATAGTTTTTGGAAACTATCCCCAGGTGTACCATGTAGCATATGTAAAGCGGCTCCACCTTACCCTTAAGTACTTTTTGATAACTTGTTTTCATACCAAACTCGCGTTCCATGTCACGTGCAATAGAGGTAGAATCGTACGATTGGTATGGATTTCCACTTTTCCCAAAATATGCTCGACAATTACAGAAGCACGTAACATCCACTTGCAATTATCATCTAAACATGTGTGCCCATTGTGTGCCCATTCAACTGAACATGTGTGCCAATTATTGAATTTATAGATCATGAATATTGCAGATTGCTTCACACTCGAAGCACGTAACATCCACTTGCAATTATCGTCTGCGCATACGACAGTTAATAGTTTGGGGCTTGACCTACTGACCTTAAAAAGGAACTTGTCCTGTAAAGCAAGCACATGAATTTTCGAGTACAGCTCTTTCTTGCTGAAGAATTTTTGCCGTTCAACAAGATCGGATGTATTCAAACTTGTAATCCTCTGGTATGTACCCGAACTCTGGGAATGATATTACATTCCCTCGTCAACGTCTATAATATTAGCACCATTTGTACCATGTAACGGGTCTTCCAACATCTCATCTAATGGTGCAGCCCCAATGTATTCAGTTAGACTATCGGCTATATTATTGTTTGGGGCACTAGATTCATGATGTATGTCATCGTGTTGTACGATATGGGGAACATCTGCTGCTCCAAATGAAAGGTCATGCAAATTTGTGTCCCTCCCCATGTTAACGCTGGCAGATCAGTTTCCAAAATATTAATACAGAGGGCAATTTTCGTATGAATAGATTTGTACCAAATTAGTCTTCATTTTCACGTATTTCAGCCGGTGGTAAATTGACGATCAGGACTTTGAACTTCAATTCAATTTCGGTGCGTGAATTAATAACACCAAGTTTGTCATTCAACAATAACAGAAGTTTGGCTAGGGTAATACTTCTCAGCACTAAAATGGAAGTGGTTTTGTCCCCTGTCCACTTCCATTCGTCATCTACGTGAATAAACTTTCTTCCATATGACACGATGAATCTGAAATGATTGTCCATACCTAAAATATTGGGATTACAACGATAAGAATTCTGCACAATGAATATGTCAATATGTAATAGAATGGAAGTGACACTTTTGAATATTTAAATCCATTCAAAAACATAAGGTGAAATGAAGGGTGTTAACAGTTTTTAACTGTCGATTTCGATAGTTCAAAAATCTAACCCGACAGTTTTGAAATGTTGAGTTGGACAGTTCAACTGTCGGAACTGTCGAGAACCTTTTGACGTGTTTGGTACCTTGTTCGAAACATTAATGGTTATAATGAATTCTCAACTACAATAACTACATCATCACAACATCTGTCCAAAAATAAATGACTGAATGCTTCATTAAATATGGAATGTCATACTTAACATTTGCCCAAATCTTTTTGGAATTTCTTTTCGGTATCTTCTCCCTTCAAAAATATTTCCCAAATCAAGAGCATTATGATTAATAAGAGTTTCAAAACCATTCTTCACTTTGATGATCATGTTGTTTTTAACATTTAAAAAAGAGAAAGCTATTCGATAAAAATATAAATAGTTCATAGTAACTAACCTCTTAAAATGGCTGATGAATCTAATAGTTGTGTCTTCTTGATTAAGGAATGAAGAACAATACCAAGTGAGGGTTTGTTGAAGAAGAGATTTGGTTGATGTTAAAATAGGGTTTTGTACTTCTTTTATCTTTTTTTTTTTTTTAAATTTGTATTATACAATAGAATATAAATATATCCATAGATTATAATCTATAAATTTAACTAATCAAATCATAGCATTAATTGGATTGAAAAGCTAGCATTAAATGCTCCTAAAAAGGGGAAATGAAGGGTAAGTTGGACATTTCTAATTGAAAAAGTGACATTTTGAATAAAATTAGGTGCACATGCAAATTTTTGGTGCATTTTCAAAAAAAGTGACATTTTTTATAATTTTCCTAAAATATATTATGTAATAGTATATTTTGGGAGAATGTGTGCTCAAGAAAGAAGAATTTTTTTGATTTACTTGTAATATTATTATAATAAAGTATGAGTGGTTGAGAAAAAGAGACAAAAATGTATTAAAAACTTAAAGGGTGTCAAACAAGGGCAACTTATGCATATATTTTGACATCTCTTCAAGTGGAATTTGGTAGTTTGAATAGAAGAAAGAGTTTGAAAATGACTGATTACATGATTGGTGGTGGTGATGGTGGTGGAGGAGGAGGAGGAGGAGGAGGGAGGATAATAAAAGAAGGACCATTTTTTAAATAATTTGTTTGGGACGTGTTTGTACTTTTTAAAAAAATTGGAAGTATAGTTGCAAATATTTTTTTCTTCTCTTTTCCTTTCAATTTATTTAAATAGGAGGATATATTCGTTATTTTCACATATTTTTATTGAGAAATTGGATGAAAATGATAATTTTTTTGCAATGAAATGTGAAAATTGGGGCATGAGAATTAAAAAAAAAAAAAACAAGTGTAGGGAAGTTTTTCATATAAAACTCCAACCATATGGACGTTTTGTGCTAATAACCCTTTATCAAAACTTTTAATGAAATAAGGAATGCAATATGATTTAGTAATTTTAAAACGTAACTAAAGTAATATTTCAAGATTGTTGAGGTCCAAAACAAATATTGTGAATTATAATAAATTTCAAAATTTCTTGATGGATACTCCAATTTTATAAGATCCTTATAATCCTAGAATATTAGGGAAAAAAGACTGCATTTAGTTATTCCTAAATGATTTTTTCATTTGTGTAGGAGGATCATTTTGTTATAGAACAAACCTCATATATTTTGGCATTGCATGATAACTATATTCTTTGACATAGTTGAATGGTTCATAGAAGTTCTCATAAAGGGTTAACCCCGATTTTGAAGTGCGAAAGACAAGAAAATGATGATGGGGAGTAATTTGAGGAGGTGGAATTAGTCATTGAAGAAAGAAGCAACAATTGAAGCCGCAGTGGAAGAGGAAGTGCAATGACGAGGAATGAAGCAAAAAAGTGCACCAAAACATTGACAAGGAGTTGTTCTAAGTAATAAAGTAAAGTTGGTTGCAACATGAACATACTTAGCCGAAGTTTAATCGGAAAAATTGTATTTACTTCACAAACTGGTATCAAATCTTTTATTGTCACGATTGCTTGCTGATATTCGATCTTTGGTGGCTAAAAATTGAAATTTTTGTGTTTGTACGTGGGTATTCTATGCAATTGAGGTGTTAGCCGGTTAATTTTGTAGTGAAGACTTAAATCCTTTATTATATTAGTATATCTCTTTGTTATAGACCACAGATAGGTCTGCTCAGGTAAATTGGCTAAAACTCTTTAAATTACTAGAATAGTAGGTCATTGTGTGAGGGTGACCAATAGGATTGAGGCCTTGCTTGATGCTAGTAAATTTTGATATTATTATCTTTATGGCTATATTGATCATTGTTTGTACTCTTGCTAAGCTCTCTGTGATTAGAATTGTAACCTTTGACCTTATCCATTCGAAAATTTCCTTGAGACTAACGTTTGAATCTCATGATAATCTTGAGAATTTAGTCCGATATATAAATGCGACCTATAAGACATATTCTATGTGGTTGTCTTTCTGAAGGTTGTTTACGTGCTACGTGTAACGCTTTGAAAATTTTATAGAACAAAATTATTTGTTCTATATGCTATATTTTTCATACTTTGGAAAATTAGGGAACTAAAGTGATATAGGTATAAATTCAATTTTATTTGAGTCAAATATTTAGATTTCGATAGGATAAAGATAAATATATCAATATTGGGCTAGTTTGATAACTCATAATTAATCATGTATATTAGACACGAGAAAAAGTCAATTCGGATAAGCTAGATTCAAGATGTTGCACTTCATGTATATATATTTGTGTGTGTGTGTGTGCGCGTGATTTGATTATAACTGTATTTCAATCAATAGTGCACAAAATCTCACTGATTGATTTGAAATTACATGTCCCACTTTCAATAGGAAACTCTTTGTTTACCCAATTCTTATCCTTTTTCTTGTGGCTTATGGCTCCCACTTCTAAACACTATCAAACTCTATTAAATTAGGTTATAAGGGGGGTGTGTATGTGTGTGTGTGTATACACGAGAAAGAAGTTGTGAGAATTAAGAAGCCAATTTCATACATTTAGTACTATTATCCAACATACTCGCACATCCATGTATTCAATGCATTGCTTTGAGACAAGATTTGAAACGTGTAATTAAGATTTTCAAAGATTTAAGGTAGGATAATGAGGTACAATTGATTTTATCCTGTTTAAATTAATCTTTCGTGTTGTCAAATTATTATACTCATGAATGTTAAAGATATGATATGATATGTATGATATGGCCATCATTTACCAAAGTTATGATTTTTATTGAGCTCTTGTCGGTCCCTAAAAATAAGATAACGATATAATATTTTTTACGCATATTTTAAATATTTTATTCAGTATTACACCATTATTTTCGTATCCTGTTGAGTATTCCATATATTCATCATTCTCCCCTATTCCTCACATGTTAAAAAATGGGTCCTTGGTTGGCGAATGATGAAGTACAATCGTGGTGTCAAGATTTATGGAATTCAATAAAAATAATCCGGTGTAATATGATTAGGGATTTTATTTTCAGCTTTCTTTTAATTTTGTTATGATGTGGATTTTTTCATTTAGGATTTGGAACATGTTTTAATTGGTTATGTTTTTCCACGTGTTTTATTTAACATTGGTTGAACCAAAATTTCATGTGGTAACATTTGATTTATTTATTCGCTTATTAAATGAAACTTTAGGTAACGATTTAAATCTTAAAATTTGGGTCGTTACAGTTTGGTATCAGAGTCAGGTTTAATTTTCTATAGACCCATATGTATATTCATGATATGAGTCTTGGAAGGGGAAAAAATAAGTGTGAATAGTGCATGTCACTATTCATGACAGTGTCAATGTTCACCGTGATAACTATCACTGTTCAT